ACCTGCCAAAGTCTGAAAAACACCAAAACAAAGCAACACCCCGGAGTAAAAATGCTTCAAACGACTAAGCAAATCGGGGGTAAAAAGTGTACAAATGAGCTCGAATCATCCATTCATGCCCATTGAGGGCCATTTCTTCAAATAGTTGGGTCATTTTGAGGTGGAGACTTTTTCTTCATGCATCATGGACAAAATGAGTCAAATCATCTGCCAATCTTCTATACACAATCTATTGTAGAAGAGTGAGCCTTGATACCAATCATTGTATCCATGGTGCAAAAATATGAGAAGTAGGTTAATGAACCTCTCCTGTCATGGTTGTCACGCCGGTCGGCGTGCCACTGGTTGACCCTGGTTCAACCTGTACCGGTCATAAAACCGGTATGACACTACCGGTATGACCGGCATGATCGATATACGAATCTCTAAGTAAAATGATCTTATATTAGTGAATTTATTTGATAAAAAGTAATTTATTATTTATTTTATGTGTTAAAAAGTTAAATGTTGATGTTATTTGTTGGATTCAAGTACAAATATTTAGGTATTGACGTTAAATGTCGTGCTTAAATATGAGTACTTGTAAATTATTTGTAATATTAACCGGCATGAACCGGCACAAACCGGTATGTACCACCGGTTGAACCATTCCACTTGCTAAACCGACACACTGGCACAAACCGGTTTGACAACGTTGCTCCTGTGCATCACACTGTCTCATCATCTTCTTGGGTGAACTCAATAATCTCCTTTTTTTGGTTGAGATATCTTGAAAGGAGGAAAGTAATAACCCATGAACTTCTCCAACATATCAAGTGATGGAGTATGATAGTTGGTGAGCCACTTCTTTGCTAACCCACTCAAAAGATAATGGGAAAAAGACATAGTTGGATAACATCTGTAGGTACCCAATTCACCTACGTCCCACTAGTAAGCTTCAGGAATCACTCCACATGGGCATGACGTTCTTCACTCTTGAGACCATGGAACTGGATTGAGCTATGGATTATGAATATCACACTGTTTTTTTATCTTGAAGTTGTTGTTGGCAATATGACAAGATGATATACTGGATCTCGTTGACCTTGGGGGTGAGGTAGTACACCATGGTCTCCTGTACCTGAGGATGCTTGCCAGCTATGATGTTGTTCTCTGCTTCTTCCTCTACCTAAGAAGAGTCATTTCATTTTTTTTTATGACGAGGAACACCCTCCACGGTCACCACCTTAGGTGATGCCGTAGTCGGGCCAAACCTCGGGACCTGTGCCAGCAGTCCGGGCAAATGCGCGGTGCCTCCGGGAACACCATGGTGGCGGTGAGGATCGAACCTGGGACCTCTCGATCACTAGTTCGGTCATTTTCCTTGCTCAAGAGCTCGCTTTAAGTCTCTTTCTCTTCTAAGGTTGTGCATAGGGATGGCAAATTACCCACCCATGGGTAATTATACCCAAACCCAAGTAGACCCATTGATAATGGGTTGGGTATGGGTGAAGTGCATATGGATTTGGGGGTTTATAGATGGGTTTGGGTAAGGTATGAATATTGCTTCCATAATCTAAATGGGTATGGGTTGGATATGGATATCCATTTACTTGATGGTGTTTTAACTACACATGCAAAAATTGGACCTATTTGTAAAACTTGAAAAGTTTAGGTACCAAAATGTAAGACCAAAAAAATTTAGGTACCAAAATGTAATTTTCCATCGATATTTTGAGGACTTATATGCAAAAAAAATAAATTTAGGTAGTAAATATGCATATCTATTAAGTTTGGGTACCAAACTGTAATTGTATTTGGGCATGGGTACAAACCCAAATCCATTTGATATAAACCCAACTCAACCCAAAGTAAATGGGTATGGGTACAAACCCATCAAACTCTACCCATATCCATCTGTTTGGATTTCATACCCAACTCAATTGGGTTGGATAGTAACAAACCCATGGATATGGGCAAAGTTGCAATCCCTAGTTGTGCGATGATGTTATCATCAAAATGTACTAATTCACCTTATTAGTCATGCACAACACAAGCACCTGCCACACACTGAAACACACTAACTGTAAAAAGCAAATGTGAGAAAAGCAAAAGAAAAAGCAAAAGTAATAAACTTGTTTCGTTCATAATCATATAGATTATCCCCTTCAACGACTGCGGACTTATCACTACAAACTAACAATCCTGACAATGCAAAGTGAAATAATGACATAATCATATTATAGTGCCCACAAATTATAAATATACCATTTACAAGTATCCATAATCTCCCAATTCCGCTCAAGAACTCTTTAGGGTCGCACTCTTTAAGTTGCGTCCTCTTTCTAACTTGAAGTCCAAAAACTTGCGCCCAAAACTTGAATAGTATTCAGCATAGTTAGTATAATGCATAATGGAAAAGTTACGTATAAAATACATGCGGGTATTTTACTTCGTCTCTCAGCTAATGTTATGTTTAATAGTACGTTAATAGTGATAAATATTTAAAATTAATTTTTTTAAAATAAACAAATATATAAATAATAGTAAAGTTAAATAATTCATTAAATACGGATATTAAACGTGTTATACGAGTTTTATACGTGTTTAGTACGAGAGCCATCAAATGAACGGGGGAAAATGAAACGACTTGACAATAATACGAATACTGAAGTTTTAAACGGATAAAATATATACGTATATATACATGTATTAACCTAAGTATTTACTATATGGTATTCAGTATTCATACCAAAGCAGAGGCAAAGTCATAGAAGTCACGAAAATCACTGGGCTGAAGTGAGGCCCATCCTGGTACTTACGATGGCCATTACATCCGTTAACAGGCCCAAGCTCGTCGGCCCTGTTCTGAATTTCTTTCCCCTCCAATCCTTTGCGTCATCCGGAAACATTTCCCAAGAGCGGGAAAAGATGGGACTTTAGTTGGCACTTGGCTTGGCAGTAATTGCCTTTGCAGGTGCGGGCCAGCAACACAAATTCCTAGGGCCGCCACATTGCCTAATTTAATGAACAATTCGTTGAAAGTTGCTCGTCCCCGGCCCCCAAGCATTATGACCTTTTACTAGGGATAACAATGGGTCGGGTTGGATCGGATTTTTCCAAACCCAAACTCAAATTCATGGGTTTATCGGTAAAAAAATATGGGGACCCGCTGGGTATTCGCGGGTTCATGGGTATCCACGAGTTTTTGTCGTAAAAAATTTACAATAACAAGTTCCTATCAAAATTAAAGTCAAATATCAATATCTCAATACAAATTATTTATATATAAAACACCATTCTAAAATATTCAAGCAAATCACAAATTAACTATACAAATTGTTCAACGCCAATATAGAAAACTAAAGAAAATTGAAGCAAATCACAAATTATCTATAAATAACATGACTATTGAAAGCTTCTTCTTTTCAATTAAGTTTCTTCACTCTCCACTCGATAACATCAACTTCATTCTACACAATTAGAAAGAAAAAATTAGACATGTCTCCAAAAACATAAATAAGATTAGTTGTTTAGAATATTAAATATACCAACAAATTAATTATATGGCTGTGGGCAGGTACCCATGGATCGGGTTTACCTAAACCCAAACCCAATCCAACCTAGTGAATAGTGAACAGGAAACCCGGCCCAAAACCCGTCAACACGGATTTTATCCGCGTTGACCGGGTTGGGTCGGGTGAGTACCCGGGGGTTTGAGTTTTGTTGTCATCCCTACTTTTTACGGGCAGTGCCCTACCAATTTCACTAGCCTTTGTTGTTAATTGTTACAGTAACGTCGTCATTAAGAGTTGGTTTGATTTTGCTGATTGTTTGGTTGGTATAGTTACAATGCATGCATTGTTCTGAATTTTTTGCACTAACAATATATGCATTGTTTGATTGATTTGACACAAACTATCACTCAAAATGAGTGATAGTTCTCAAGTTTTGGGTGAGATTGTTGGGATTGCTGGATTTAGATTGTTTGGGGTTTTTTTCTTCCAACTATATCCCTACCTATTACCTATCATAAAAATCAAACGATGTAAACTAAAATACACCAATTTTTTTTATTTAAATGTATATTATTATATATGCATGGATTACAATACATCAATTTAACTATAACAAAACCAAATCACCTCTATATAACAGGATCGTGCGTGCTGCGATCTATACTCCCTCGATAGAACCAGGAAAAAAGAAAAGAATTGGTACTTGGTACTTGATAGATTGGGATTGTATACGTGGCTTTGTAGTGGTAGTCATCAGAAGAGGCTGGCTACGTGGAGAAACAACGGGTGTCTGTTTGGTTAACGTGTAAGTAACTACCTTCCCACACGACGAGCTCTCAAGCTGCAACCATTCGAACAAAGCAATTTGGAAGCCAAATGAGTGATTGGGTAAGCTACGAAATATAAGGTAGACATTTGGAAACCAGCAATAAAATTAAGGGCCATTGCAAAATTTGACATACACAGTACCGAGCCGAGCCGACTCGAGCCAAACTTTATCATAGTTCGGCTCGGCTCGTTAAAATATTTCCAAACTTAAGCTCGGGTCGAGTTCGTCACGATTTTTAATATGCAAATTCGAATTCGACCCATTTATGAAAACGAAAGTTCGAGTTCGACTCGTCAAATAAGTTGAACAAACCTAAAATCGAGTGCAACTCATAAAATGTTCATGATAGCTCAATATTGAGCTACAACTGAGCATAAAATTACATTCAAACCTGTAGCAAAGTCTCTAACAAAATAAAACACAATATTCATCCCAAGTTCAATACATAAAATTCATGAATTCCAATCCTTTATGATGCCAAACCGTTAAATGAGCTTGTTAGCGAGCTTTCGAGCTGAACATGGTATGACTGAATTCGGCTCGTTTAGTTAACGAAGTTGCGGTTACTTAAACCGTGTTAGTATTGGGCCTTGTTGGGCCTCGCCTGATTCGTTGGATTAGGGTTTTAACCCTACGTCTATATAAGCTTAGCTACGAGATTGTCGTAAGCAAGCCGTCAAGATGTAATCCTAATAAGAGATCAGTCGTGAGCTCTTATGAGCTCACCATGGATTAGTCTCGATCAATCGATCGAGGATACCACATAAAATCGTTTGTCTCGTGTTCTTGTTATTCCGCATCATCAAATTCTTCATGGTATCAGAGCCTGGTTAGTCCTTTGTTGCTGCCTGCCACTCAGTTTGTCAAGAACCAGTTGATCCCAATAACTCGAGTTGTTGGGAGAAGGTTCTGCTGGATCTTATATCACACTCTAACACGCCCCCTCAAACGAAAGCCAACTCACGGGCTTGAAGTTTGCACAGGCTCACCATACCTTGTGCTTTAATCAAAGGTTAATATTGGGGGTCGTGGAGATTCGAACACACGACCACTTGGCCAAACCAGCTCTGATACTATGTCAAGAACCAGTTGATCCCAATAACTCGAGTTATTGGGAGAAGGTTCTGCTGGATCTTATATCACACTCTAACAACAAATTCTTCAAACGAACTTGTTCACGAGCCATCTCGATTAAGATGAATCGAATATCGAACGAATTTTTTCCAAATCAGAATCCGAACCATTCATGAGCGACTTAGTTCATTAATAATTATACGCATAGAATATAGATTCTTCGCGGGAGCTCATCTCCATGTGGCATGTGCCCCTCTCGTGGCGACCTTATCTTATACATTATTCACCAAATAATAACAAACCTGCATTATATTTGATTCGTTTCATCATTTCGTTCAATCCAGCTACACTCCAAAATCAACACCACCACTCCAACTCGCCGATATTTTCCCTACACATGCAACATGCCACTCCCCTCAATAATTTTCTTCATCATCAAACCTTTCTAGCTTCTGTTTCAATAAACAGAAGAAATAGAAAGACTAAAATGTAGAGGTGGCAATTTCAATCCAATCCACTAATCCAATCCATCAATTCATTAAAAATATCCACCTAATCCAATCCATTTAAATCCAATCCATTTTATCCAAATCTAATTGGATTGGTGGATTCATGGATTGGATTCATGGATCATTGGCAAATTACGGTTTAGTACCTATAATTTTTATTTTTTACATTTTGGTACCTAAAATTTAATTTTTTATACGAAAAATATCATTGAAAAATTACGTTTTGGTACCTAAAATTTTTCATTATGACATTTTAGTACCTAAACTATTTACATTTTACATATTGGTCCTTGGTTGAGGATGTCATTTGGATTCATGGACAATCCACCAATCCACTTGATCCAATCCATGAATCCACCAATCCATTCGATCCATGGATCCACCAATCCAATCCACCAATCCGCCAATCCAATCCATTTGCCACCTCTACTAAAATGTAATAGTTAGCATGACATTTCTTCAAATATATCGAAATAGAAAGCTAAATAGTCAGGACTCAAGAGGATCTCTGGTAAAACTAGTTATTGGTTAGTGAGCTTATACATATACGGCAGAGATAGACAATATATTGTTTCGAGGGTCGATTTGTAGTTATATCTCCTTCGTGTTCGCAATACTTTTTGAGTGATAATTATAATCGGTCAGACTTGGACTGGATTAACGTTCGATACGATAGTATGAAGTCACTTGGAGTCAGGGTAGACAAGGTCAATTTGCTTGCTATCTGTAAATAATTGTATAGCCAATTGCGAGTCTGGCTCAATAATAACTACGATTATATGGTCGTGGTTCTTATTGAAATTTTGAAAAACGGCCCACAGTTTGACCATTGTTACGATGCAAGATCCAACCTCGAAGCAAAAAATTTGACGACTCACGTCACTCAGCAAAGCCCCTGTATGCTCTGACAATGTGTGGATCCTCATTTGACGTTACATGAATGTTAAACTTCAAATAGCGTATGCCAACTCAAATGCGAGAATGACTCTACTAAAAATATATAAAAAAAATACGAAGATTTGATTATGTACAAATGCATAATAAGAGATATGCACCCTACCATTAATAACTCATCTAGTGGCATATAATAACCAACCTAACTCAGGCCAATCACCATCATCAAATTGATTACCAAGTTTTACCCCCACACATTACAAAACGGTGTGGCCTCGTCAATCCACATTCCACAGTAGCCAAATTCCCGGACCAAGCCCACTTGCTCTCGTTATTCAGTTTTTTATTTTATTTTCTTATGCTGCAAAGTGGTTGATGTCTTTTTCAGAAATTCTCCATCAAGCGGCATCAATCCGGCCCGCCGCATGATAAGCTTTTCTACACCCGCCCGCATCCGACCACAAACCCAGAAGAACTTCCTAACTGGATTCATCTTCTTCTTCTTATCGAGACGGACATAGATCATGGGTCCCACCCACGAGCGCCACAGAGATCAAGTGCGGGCAATGGCTCCTTCTCACCACCCGAACCCGCACGATCAGGTGCGTCCAAAATCCAAACACACAATTTTGTGGATCTCTTCCGCAACTTCAGTCACACACAGTTTGGAATTATTTTAGGCAAAATACACTTCCATATCCATAACTTTCACGTTTGTGCCAAATATATCCATAATTATCGAAATACATAAAATAGCCAAAAATTGGATGGTAGTGTGACAAATCTATCCATTTCCGTTACAAACTTTAACACCATTAGTGACGCCGTTAGTTATGTTAGTTATACGCTGACTAGGACGCCAGATCAGTGCACACGTCATCAAAAAATCAGCACCAAATGACACGGAAATCACACATCATATTTACTTACATATATTTAATTTTAAGAAATAAAAATAAAAAATCAATTTCCTAACTCTTCCCCTTCTGCCCCAACTTCTCCTCTCCACCCCATCTTCTCCCCTCCGCCTACTCCCATCGCCGAAGTGGACATCAAATCCGCCACCACCCATTGTCGACATCTATCCGCCACCACTGCCCACTCCCACCGCCGACATCAAATCCGCTACCACCGCCCACTCCATCCCCCAAAATAAAATCCGCCACCAATACGTTAAACTTGTTGGCCTTCTAAAAACCCCTAATCGCGGCAGCTAGCGGCGGCGCGACGGAGTAGGAAGTGCCGTCACGACCTCACAATCTGAAACCCGCCAAAATTAGCGTTCTTCTCCCGAAGATGCTTACTCATGCCGTCTCATTCCCTATCGATGCTGGAGTTAAAGGTAGGACAGGTGGAGATCGATTGAAGCAGACCACGACGGCGATGATGCGAGCGACAAGGGCATCAAAGAAGGTGATGCGACTTCGAGGAATGATGGTGACGGCATCGAGGATCTGCTTCGCACCCGCTAGCTCCATCGCCGCCAGCTCTCGCCCTTGCTTCCAGTCAACACCAATTCCAAAATCGCAAACAAAGCCCCCGCTGGCGATGGCGTCTACCCCAATCTGAACCCAAACTCCCTATTGACTCTAATGACGACGGATCTATTGGTGAAGACTATGGATTCCTAAGATCGAGGAAGACAATTAATCGTGTTCCGATCGCATTTCCAATGATTTGGTTCTGGATCTGGATTTCGGATCCGAGAAGAAGACGGCGAGGTAAGCTACACGCCGTTCAGGAAGAACCCGGTGGCTTCTAACTCTACTTGCGCCAATCGTCGTCAAGGAAGCACAAGAAGGTTTCGTCGGAGTATTTGGAGCTCGGTGATGGAAGGGTTCTGGGGCGAGAGGAAGACGAACAGGTTGGGCGATCTGCAGGGTTCCATTTATTATTTTTTAGTTTTAATTTTTAAAGTGAAATCATAGCATTTTCCTTTTTTTTTCCTGTTAATCCAGATAGATGGGTGGGGACGGAACTTTGCCAACTCAGCTATTCCGTCAGTATAGTCATACTCTTAACCTGACACCGTTAAATAGATGGACGGAATTGGATATTTTGTGTATTTTGATAGTTGTGGCTATATTTGTCACAAACGTCAAAGTTATGGATATGGAAGTGTATTTTGCCTTCATTTTATTATAAATAAATTATCGTATATAATATATTGTCAAATGAAATTTTGTGTTTGGCATGTCATATTCAAATCTTTAGAAATATAATGAATTGTCGTGTAGAATTCATTGTCAAATGAATTGCCGTGTTTGGTATGTAATATATATAAGTAATTTAGTCAATAAAGAGGATAATTATGTCATTCTATTATAATTAGTAAATAGTTATGGAATTCATTTGGAAATTCCATCACAATTCCTCGAAATTGCTATAACTAATACCATTTCCAAAGAATTCAAAATTTAGAATTGAAAATGAATTCTTTTAAATACCAAACACAAAAATATTTTATTTCAAAATGAATTTCTCAAAACTTATGGAATTCATTTATACCAAACGGTATGTTATTGTTAATTCGACATATTGATTTCGCGGGGCAATTATATGAAACGTCACTAAATTTTGGGATTATTAACAAATTGATACGCTAACTTTTAACTTTGATCGACAAGCAACTTATTAGTTTGAAGGGTGAAAAATACATTTCAAATTAAAGAACATTAATTACGAAATATTTTTTTGACGAATAATTACGAAATATTAGTTTGAAAATATTCAAAAAAATAGAAAGTATTAATAGAGTATCACCAAGGTTGTTAAACCCCTATCGTATCCTCGGTTGGACCCGATCCGACCTAAATCGGGCTTCAAAATGACCTCCAGAAAGTCCACCGATCTGACCCTTAGAGACTAAAGAGGGAGAAGAAGAGAGGGGAAGAACTAGAGTGCATTATGAAAATTCGCAGTCGTCTCGGCGATGCATTTTCTTTATGATCACAATTTTTTTTATGTAAGTAGAATTATGCAAAACTTTAGTTTGATTTTTATCGATTACAAGTAGGGGTGTTCAAATAGTTACCGTGGTAATAACCAAACCAATTAAACCTAAATTTCATTAACCATGGAATAAAATGTCTTAACAAACCGTCCAAATTAACACAAAAACTAAATTAACCAACCAAATTTTAATTGATTTGGTTAATCGGATTAACCAAATAACATAGCATTACATGAAAGTAATTATTCAGTTAATGAATAAAACATAACCATATGTTATTACTATCATTATATATAAGCAATAATAATAAAACTAACCATCCATGATTATCATCATCATTCGAGTTAATACATCATTCATCATCTCTGCATCTAATATAGTTAGCTTACCACAAAGCCTTAACATAAATATTAAATACATACCAATACCACTCATCAGGAAGTTAAGACTCTCCTACAAAAAACTTAAAACTATACATAGTTTGAGGTGGGTGTCATGGTATTGTATGTAATCCTAAAGTCTAGTAGTTGTCCAAAATGTTTTGGTTTAGTAAATAGGCAGACCCATTTAATTTTTGACCCATAATGCTTTGGTTTGTTGTGCACATGGAAATAAAATAGGAAATCACGAAAGTTTGATTTGGTTGATTGCATGAAATTATAAATAATTTTGTATATTAGGTGTATCATTAATTGGTTAATTGGTTAGCAGTGTTGCAAGAGAAAATGAGTTTTTTTAATCAATAAATCATGAGATTTTTCGTGGTATTTTCAACTGTTAGAAATCAAGGGATAGGAGCAACAAGAGCACAGAAATAAAGTACACCCCAACCACACACAATAAAATTCTCCTCCCTCTCTCGCCGTCTGTAGTCTGTACACCTTCGCCACCTAGGCTGGCCTGCCTATCCCGGTTTCTGTTTCCATTTGCCTTCGTTTTCCTGTTTTCACCAGAACGAGCGAACAGAACAACACAACAATAACCACTTCCTTTCTCCTCTCTTTCATTCCTTTCAAACTATATACCACCAGCCCCCACCGCCATAGCTAATAACTTGAAAACGCGGGAAGAAGAATCCGGATCTCCTCCCCCTTGACTTCGGTCCCGCCATTTCTGCCTCCCTTAACCTTCTCTAATCCTCACAAAACCAAAACAATTCGGGAATATTCTCCATACCACAAATTGCCTTGCACGTTAAGCGATTCCCCCCTCCTCTCCCTTTCAATTCCTTTCAACCTCCGTCTTCCAGTCAGGTAGGCGGAGCTGCTGCTGCCTCGTTTCATTCCGTTTTGTTCGTCTCCGGCGAGAGTGATTCGGTGTTTTTTTCCTCTTCCGAATTCTCCTTTTTTTTCCCCTTCCAAAATTCGTTCTGGTTTTTGCAAACGCCTCGTGTTTTTGACAATGTTCGTTGCTGGTTGATCTCTTCGGCCGGTCCATCGCATAAATTCTTTGCCTCTTCTGCTATATCTCACCTCCGCCTGCTTCTGTTATGAAGTTCGGAGGCGATTGTTTCTTTTCCTCTCCTGCCTCTCTTCCACTTCTGTGGAATTCCTCTTCAGCTTCTCAACAAGGTGCGTTTTCTCCTCTCCGGATTTTGTAACTAGTATTGATCTTATTTGCCATCTCTTCGATTCAATTGGCTTATGGTGATTGTGAATGGCGCTTTTGTGCTTGAAGCAGCAGAGGTTTGCGTTGACTTTGAAGGTGATTTGAGCTTGTATAGAGAGTTTGATGGGGAAAGCTGACGATGAGAGATGCGTTTTTCCTTTAACCAGTCTGCAAATCGGGTTAGTATGTGATCTTTGGTACAATTCCTCCGATCTCTGCATTTGAGAAGCAGGCACTGTTACATTCCATGTGCATGTATGAATCTAGGGGAACTAGGCAATCGCAATTGAGAATTTGGCTTGTAGCTTGAAATTTTAGGGATTGCTCCTTCTAAGAGGTTCCGACTCTTGAGTATGACCTGCAAAAATTGGTATCTAGGCTTTGAGGGATGATCAACGACCTAAGGGAAGGTCATTCATTATGATGCTTAAAGATGCTCTTCTGTATTGGTTATCTATTCAATTCCTGAATTTTGTTTTGTCCTTTCATGATTGCAGAGACTTGCAGTCGTATCTTTCGGATCTTAGATTGTATGTGGCCTTCGAAAGTAAGAAGCTATACATCTTGGTGGACAACCGACCATGGTTGAGGAGCCTGGGTTCGCGGCCAGCACACTTGTGGCAGTTGATGGTTACAAAGGTGATGAATTATACTCATTAGAGCTATTTAGAATACTGTACCTGAGTTAAAGTCCTTGATGGTTTCAGTTGTTGACATGGGTTTAACTTCGTTGCAGTCAAGGTTATCTCCATTTGCAAACACCAAAGGACAGAGAGGGAAAAGGGAGTGCAAGGGAACTTCTTGTCCTCAATCTAATTCCAGCAAGGCAACGAATATTGAAAAATGGTTCTCACTGATCGATGCAAAAAACTTCTCTCAGAAGGCAGGTTTATTGCCAGTGGAGAAGTTGAGAAAGTCGTTATTCTTGAGTAGTGAGCTGCACAGAACACTCTACGGTTTTATAGTGTTTGAAGTTGCTTGGAGTAACGTTCGAGGTATTAATTACTTGAATGAACTTCAGGTATGAGGCCGCCTCCATCTTCAGTTTGCATTTTACTGCAGAGTTTTGTTATTTTTGGTCAATAATTTTTTTGAGTATGCAGACAGACACATCTCTGGCAGTCGAGGCGAAAGTTATGCAAAGATGGGAATTTGATTGTATATCTCAGGCATCAAGGTCTATCGCTTCTTGGTTTTCAGGAACATTGCCCGAGCAGTTGCAATTGAAGGAGTACCTGGATTCTGCTACAGGTTACTGCATCACTCTCTTGAACTCAGATTTATTGTTTTTATCCTTTTTTAATTAGTTTGTATCACATTGCATTTGATCAAGACGTAGCGAGCTGACCCTATATTGTTTAGAGACTGTATTACCTGATTTACTTTCTCTAATGTTACGGGAAATCCATTAAGCTTACTGTAATGCTGGAATGTAGACTTATATTGTAAGCTCTAACTGATGTTATGTTGATCTGTTGGGGTGTTCTACAGGAGATATATTCTATGATGCAAAACAAAATTTTTCAAGAACAGGTTCTTTCAACGATGATGATGAAGAGACCGTTGGAGGTAATCGGTGGTCTGTGAATTCCTCATCCAATAGTCTCACTGATTCTGACGATATTCAAGATGATTCTGAGCCACACACGCCTCCACCCAGTGGGCCCTACAAGAGAAGAAGGGTAACTAAGTCGATTGCCTCAGGAGTCAAAGTCGATTTTTATTCTGAAACACAGGGCAGGAGCAAAGATTTGTTGCACAACTCGGAGACTGATGGCAGCAGCAACAATTGTGAAAATGGTAGTCTTGAAGCTAAGCAGTACAAGGACGTGCTAATTCTGATGAGGTTTGATGACCATGACCTCCCTTTTAAGCTGAGGCAAATCATAATGGCTGACCTTCGGTTATTGACCCTCTTAGAGGCAGGGCTTCCGTCATGGGTAATCTTTCTCCAATCATATCCTGGGTTTTGCCATCTTTATCGCCCGTGGATGTGTCCGCTAGCTAGAGCTTTATACGTCTCCATCTCGATTGTCACTGTCATAATAGGCTTCTACGATCTTTACAAAAATGTTCCTGTTCTCAAGGCGACTGCATCTCGATTATGTGGGCCACTTTTTGACTGGATAGAGACCTGGGAAATGGTCTCCAGGATCAAGTATCTGGGGACCATGCTGTTTCTTCACAATTTCCAGAAGGCTGTCACCTGGTCCCTAATGATCACTCGAACTTTCCGGTCTTTCCTCTCGGTTTTCACCCAACCTCTGGTTGGTCCGTTAGTGGAATTAGTAGGGTTTCTCCTTCCATTGTGGAATGAAGTCATTGAAGTAGTTGAGCAGTTATTCTCAGTAGTCTGGCTTGTGGTGGGAACCACTTGCAATGTGGTTGGAGATGTTCTCGAGTTTTTTCTGTGGCCGATATGGGTTATCATCTCTTTTGTATGGAACTTTGGTAAGTCCCGCCATTCTTGTTTCTTGGTAGCTTTTTACTGCTGTTTGGCCAATGTCTCGTATCTGACTCTTCAAAAATAATTTGTGCTGCAGCGACTTCAATCTTATATCCCATCTTCTGGATTCTGTGGGAAGTGATCTACACACCAGTTCGCATGGTTCTTGCACTAGCCAGCTTCCTGGCTGGAATTTTGGGTGTGATGGTGCAGTTGATTGTAGATGTTTGGCAATCTATGAGTAGCATAGCGCAGCTCGCTTCAGCATCCGAGGCGTCAGTGAACACGTACCAAGTTTCCATGTGGAAATCACTTTGGAGTGACCTTTTCTCACAGGTCTTTCGTGCCGTCAGAAGTATTCTGAATGGTTTTGTGGCTTTTTTCACAGCATGCAACAGACATCGCCTCAGGTAGTTATTTTTCGTTTGTTTGAATCCATTGAGTATATGTACACTTTTCGCGACCCCTACACTTCGTCGAGTTGACAATTTTGGGTTGAACACAGCATATACAACCATCTACAAGATTTCATCCGGAGACTACTCGGTGGAGCTCAGAGATTTCAGACTTTCGATTCCCGGCCTAGTTGGAAGTCATACGAGCCACGTAATCTAGTGAGTGAATGCAATGTGCTGCTCTTTTAACCGATGACCCTTTACTCTGTGTAAAGGTTTTCTGATCAATCCGGTGTTCTTTTAAATTGCAGTCCGATTCATACGGGGACTGCAGACAGGGTAGCTCGCCTCGTCGAGTGCCAACTGTGCGTATTTCCAAGTTGAAGAAGCAGAGGTGAGTCAAGTTCTCTACAATCAACACGAAATATGGAACAACCTTGGTAGCTGTTTTTGTAGGAGAAAGAAACAAAGAGAGAATAGTTTCTTATTTGTTTCTAACCAACACCGTTAGGAATAATCTTTCATTCTTTGCTTCCGTTTTTTGGTTTCTTTCCCATGCTAGTTCCTTCGTGGTTTCCTTTTCCCCTCTATTCAGCTAGTAAGTATCTCTTGTTTGTTTCTGAACAGTTCTGCGGTACTCATAGGTGTTGTATTGTTGTATCTTTGTTGTAAATAGCATGCGTATTGTAAAAGCCCTCTTCTATGTGCAGTAAAAAATAGAAAGAACCAAATTTGCAGTTCATTACCTTGATTCGTTTAAGGCTTTGGCGACGAAGCATTCTGGTCATAGAGTTTATAGTTACTCAAACGCAATATTAACATACTGTAGCCACGACAACTTTTTCAAACGTGTGGCAACGTGAGATTGTATACGGAGGCGAGAAATTGAGATTATGATGAACCATCAAAACGTCTTAGTGTGTGTGGCGCCACTGTTTATTGGTTTTTCAATTTTCATTATCCAACTTTGACGCATGCATTGCATGCACAACTGCTGAAAATGTTGTAGTGGCACCTATTGATGAGGCTCCAGTTACGGAATTCCTGGCTTAGAATGGTTTGCCAAATTCTTCATTTTTCGAAAAGAGTAGGAAAACAAAAGCATTGCAAGAGGTGCGTGGACGCCCACAAATACGTTGCTGGGCTGCTGGAAGTGGAAGATGATTCGTGAATGAATTGGGAATTTGAGAGGATATAATGTGTCATGATTTGCATACGCAGTGGAATCGAGCGATCCAGGGAGCGATTGATAATCAGAGAAGAATGTTAATCATTATATCTATGGTTAGAAAACCCGCTTGAGACTCACTGTGACTTCTTTTTTTATCCGTGCTTCGCTAATGTTATGTCATGTAGGGAAGTTTTCAATGCAGACATATAACGACATATCCGTACTATGACAACTGGCCAATACACTATTTTTAGCCCTTCCTTCTAGTGTGTTCTATAGCACCCATGCTATAAACAAAAAAGAAGTGATTTGTTGAGGAGGTAAACCCACTAAATGACTGGTCCCACATCACTAATGGCAATCTTGTAAATAATGAATACAACCTAGCGTGTAGGTACAAGTTTCAGATGTACTATTGAAGAATTTGTTTCACAAAGTGTAGGTACAACTCAAAATTGTACCTAGCTTGTATGTATAATTTTAGGTTGTACCATAGAGTTTTTTTTTGTAAAAGTGTAGGTACAACATAAAGTGTACCATGGTATAGGTACAGGTTTGGGTTGTACCGCAGAAGGATTTTGAGAAAGTGTAGGTACAACTTAAAGTTGTACCATGGTATAGGTACAAGTTTGGGTTGTACCATAGAAGGATTTTTAGAAAGTGTATGTAAAAGTTTGGGTTGTACCATAGAAGAGTTTTGAGAAAGTGTAGGTACATCTTAAGGCTGTACCATTAGTATAGGTACAATTTTGAGTTGTACCATAAAGGGATTTGTTAGAAAGTGTAGGTACAACTTAAAGTTGTACCATGGTATAGGTACAAGTTTGGGTTGTACCATAGAAGGATTTTTAGAAAGTGTAGGTACAACTTACAGTTATACAATGATATATGTACAAGTTTGGGTTGTACCATAAAAGAATTTTGAGAAAGTGTAGGTACAACTTAAGGTTGTACCATTAGTATAGGTACAATTTTGAGTTGTATCATTAGTATAGGTACAATTTTGAGTTGTACCATAAAGGGATTTGTTAGAAAGTGTAGGTACAACTTAAAGTTGTACCATGGTATAGGTACAAGTTTGGGTTGTACCATAGAAGGATTTTTAGAAAGTGTAAGTACAACTTAAAGTTGTACCATGGTATAGATACAAGTTTGGGTTGTACCATAGAAGGATTTTGAGAAAGTGTAGGTACAACTTAAAGTTGTACTATTAGTATAGGTACAATTTTGAGTTGTACCATAAAGGGATTTGTTAGAAAGTGTAGGTACAACTTAAAGTTGTACCATGGTATAGGTACAAGTTTGGGTTGTACCATAGAAGGATTTTTAGAAAGTATAGGTACAACTTAAAGTTGTACCATGGTATAGGTACAAGTTTGGGTTGTACCATAAAAGAATTTAGAGAAAGTGTAGGTACAACTTAAGATTGTACCGGTAGTATAGGTACAATTTTGAGTTGTACCATAGAGGGATTTGTTAGAAAGTGTAGGTACAACATTAAGTTGTACCATAGTGTATAGGTACAATTGTGAATTGTACAATAAAATATTTTTAGGAAAGTGTAGGTACAACTTTAAGTTTAGTGTAAAGGTACAACTCTAGAAAGTGTAGGTACATCTTAATTCCACGGCTGTTATTTTGCCAGAATGAGTTGTGAGAACGTTTGAGTGGCAGATGTGTGTTTCAATTTCACGTGAGATTTTGACGGGCGTGACAATGTCAAGTAGTAGCCGTGAAATTTCCTGGGATAGTGAGAAATGCTCTTTGCATCTCACGGGACATCTCACGGCCGTGATATTTGCCTGAGGAATGAAGCACTGCTTTTTACATCTCACTTGAGTATTTTACGGTCGTGAGATTACCAGTATAAGGTGTCAGATTTCCAGTAGAAGACTTTCACCTGTTTAACTATCCCATGTACTTATTATAATGGTGTTTCAAACATAATGGACTTTTTTCCAGGACTTCAAACTTATTGATTCATAATGTTCTCTAAAGCTTGACACGAGCATTACATAGATCCATTCACAATGTTCTCTAGTAATCGTACTTCATATCAGATGAGATACCCTGTTAACAAAAAGTAAAAAGCAGTCAAAGCATTACATTGGTCTAATAAAACAAGCATTCATAACACGATTAAATCTGTCTAATTAATGCTTAAGTTTAGCTGCATGTAGCCCACACCGGTGCATCATCATATTCTAATTGGAAAACATACAAGCACAAACGCAAACACACATAGCTAAGTACTAAGGACTTTGGTTGGCTCATCTTCACTGCCCATCTTCCTCGTCAGTGTTCTCGTCCTCGTCCTCGTTTTCCTGTATTTGCTCATCTTCATTGTCCTCGCTAGAGTCACTGCCCTCTTCCTCATTGGTCCCTTTGTCCTCTTGATTTCTTTCGTTGCTTTGGTCATCGCCATTGCCCTCGTCGTCCTCTTCACTGCCCTCTTCCTCATTGGTCCCTTTGTCCTCTTGATTTCTTTCCTTGTTTTGTTCATCGCCATTGCCCTCGTCGTCCTCTTCACTGCCCTCTTCCTCATTGGTCCCTTTGTCCTCTTGATTTCTTTCCTTGTTTTGTTCATCGCTGTTGCCCTCGTCGTCCTCTTCACTGCCCTCTTCCTCATTGGTCCCTTTGTCCTATTGATTTGTTTCCTTGTTTTGGTCATCGTCATTGCCCTCGTCATCCTCTTCACTGCCCTCTTCCTCATTGGTGTCATTGTCCTCTTCACTGCTTTTCTTGTTTTGCTCATCGTCATTACCCTCGTCATCCTCTTCACTTCCCTCTTCATTGCTTTCCTCGGTTGGCTTAGGAGATAGTTCCCAAGGTCTTGAGAATTTTTTGTAGTCAATCCTCAAGGACCTCATGATGTGATGGTTGCATTTGATGATGTAGCGTCGAGCTTCGTTCTCTCGATCGAGGCGGGAGAGAATGAGTGCATTTTGCTCCAGAATTTGGGCATTCTGCCGACCCAATGCCTCAAAATGATATGTATCTGTCGGTGGATGGTCCGGCTTGAGTCGTAGTTTGGTGATGTTGTGCAGGTTGTTCTAGAGTCTCCTCGACCTTTTGCTGAACAACATGCTCCGATGCGTTTGCTTCATCTGTTGCAAGAGGTGGAGCAGGATGAGGGAGGCCAACAATGGCTAGCACACCATTCTCCTTAACCATCAAACACAGACATGATCAATATCAGAAGCATTAGTTACATTTGCTCAATGTTCAAAAGGAACTAGATTAGTAGGCAATCCAAAACTTGCACAAAATCAATCCTAGATTGTTTGAATCCCGACTAGTTCTGTTTTAGCATTCACTGTGAAAAGGAAAGTGTTGGTTGGAACATTTACCTTTGACAACAAATATAGATCCGCAAGGTTTTTTTGGGAGATTGGTTGAATGGACTGGGCAATGGTGCAATGAGAACCCACCGGATCAATGCCAAAATGCCGAGCTAGCCTTGTGATGTAGGCACCTCCATGGATGGTCTTGATTTGTTTGTTGGAGGTCATCTTCTGTAGGGTTTTCAGTATGACTAAACCAAGATGAATTGGGGGATCTTTTACCATAGAGAGGAAAAAGTTCAAATCCCGCTTGGTCACACTCCCCGGGCTCCCCTCCCTAGCTGCCACAGAATGAGCGATAATGTTGTGGATGATACGCCATGGGGGAAGAAGATCATTCCCTTTATAGTGGGCAGTGTCAGACTTTGCCACATGGTTTTGTTTTAGCGTTCTCCACATAGCATTGAACAATGGTGCTCTTGGTGAATATATTTTCTATGAAATCAAACCATGTCCATCTGTAGTGAGAAATCCTGGTGGGTATATCTGGAGTGCCTCTGTGAACTCAGTGATGCTCATCTGTCTCGCCTGTCCTCCAAGGCGAAAAGTTATGTTGTCTTCGGACTTGTCGAGGTGAAACTCGGACATATACTTGATGGAGAGAGTGCTGAGGAACTCAATGGTAAGCTCTCGGTAGATGACCTCATTGATGGAGAGAAACTCACACCATGCCGGGAGACGGAGGCATGTGAGAACGGGGTCCGCTGCTCCGAGGCGCTCTAGGAGATCCCAATCAAAGCATCTTTGCTGCCCAAATGGGAGGGGAAGGAAGCGCTCCAAAGCCCTCCTATGTTCGTCGGGTAATTGGAGGAAGCCGTGCAGTCCCCCTCCTCTAAGTTGAGCCTCCGTTTGTGGTGGTGGTGGTGGTGGAGATGGTTGACGTGCCCGTCCTTGGTTGTTTTTGCGTTTTCGTTTGGGGGGAGTGTCTCGTTCTTGGGTTTGGCGGCGACGACGAGAAAGAGCCTTCACTTTGGAAGATGAGGCTAATGGTTGCGTGGTTTTTTGTTTAGCTTTCCCCATTCCTACAAAAACCAACTAAGCACATTTAGTCTTTAGTGAATGAGAGGGAAAAGAATTATGCATAAGCATAAGCAATTCACAAATCAAGGAATCTGGTATGCATTCCAGTTTTCAACAAAGATACTAGAAGATATAGACTTACAGTTTTCAACAAAGATGATTGTAGTTGGCTAGTTGCTAGACCCTGTAATTTTCACTCCTGCCATTATGAAGAACAGTTAAGTCAGCACTAAGAAAATACCAAAAAACAAAGAGAGAGCATTGCAAGAACAGTAGAATGACATTCAGGAGGCTGCTGCGGCGTGAAAATAGAAGAAGAACAAACCACGAAGCCTTCTGGAGAAGTCATCCCACCAATCCAAAGAGCATTGAGAAGCTGCTGAACCAGCAAGTTCTAGTGTTGAATACAGTGTATGCCTTTAACTTGGGAGTCAGCAAGTTCTAGTGTAACATACAATGTAGGATCAGAACAATTAGGAATGTAATCACAATTAGGAATTCAAAACCCTAATTCAGACCAACCTTGGGCAACTAAACCCTAAAAAATGCAAGAAACCAGAGAAGAGTGCCGCTGTGGTTAAGAAGAACTCACGAGAGGCGCTGTAGAGATCAAAGTGGAACAGAGGGCAGGGACTCGTGGGGAAATGGTCGTCGT